CACACACACACACACACACACACACACACACACACACACACACACACACACACACAAATATAAATATATAATATTGTGCATATATACACACTCAGACACACACACACACACACACAGCCGATAGCAGTGCTCTCAAGCTCAAAATAGCCCTGGATATCCAGCAAAAGAAGATGTGCATGTCAGAGACAGTGTTTCTCTGTGCTGACACTGGATCAGTGGATGTGTGTGTGTGTGTGTGTGTGTGTGTGTGTGTGTGTGTGTGTGTGTGTGTGTGCTGGCGTTTCTAATTTAAGAACAAAGATGGCATGATTTTTCTTTCGCTTTGAGGCAGCGCAACACATCTGAGCCAAATTTAGTGCAAGTGTGCAACAAAAGGACAGAAATAGAAACAAGGTTTGGCATCAGGTTTGAAATCATGTGTTGGTAATGCAATAATGACTGGAGTATAAGCTGAGCGGATGTTTAGCTAGAAAATAAGCTTTCATAATATGGTATTTTATTATTATAGTTATTATTATTGTAGTATTTCACATTTCACTTACAGATGCTCTTGTTGTTGTTGCTGCTGCATGGTTTTGTTAAATCCGTGACATGATTTATTCAGATGTCACCATTTGTTTTTGTCTATGTAATGCAATAAAGCAAAAACATTCATCCATTCAATTTCCTTCGGCTTAGTTCTTTTATTTATCGGGGGACACCACAGCGGAATGAACCGCCAACTTATCAAGAATATGTTTTACTCAGTGGATGCCCTTCCAGCTGGAACCCAGTACTGGGAAACACTCATACACACTCATTCACACACACACACACACACACACACACACACACACACACACACCCTGGGCTCGAGGATCCCTTGAGCTCGGGGCTCTCTCCCGGGACAGCATGCCAAACAAGCTTTTATAAATCATCAGCTAAGTGTGAACTCTTGAAACATTATAGTTTTAATAACTAATTTCTGATAACTGATTTGTTTTCTCTTAATGACAGCACATAATGTTTGACTATATATTCATCAAGACACTAGTATTCAGCTTAAAGTGACATTTAAAGGCTTAACTAGGTTAATTAGGGTAAAGTTAGGGTAATTAGGCAAGTTGTCAGAGAGACAAACTCCGTGATTCCCTCCTCTGACCAGCAGAGGGCACCCTCACCTCATTATTAACTGTTTCATTGTTCCCTCTCCACTACATTTCCCATCTACGATATCACTCCGCCATCTATTTAAGCAGACTGGTTTGTCTCACTCTTTGCGAAGTCTTAGCTGCGTCCCAAATCGCATACTTATGCACTATTCTACACCACTGTGTAGTATAAATAGTGTAAGTAGTGCGTTCTCACTGAAAACTCTTTTAATAATAAGTGCACTTTAATTATCCGGATGATCACTCATTCAGCCGGTAAAATGAAGTGTGTAATGACGGACACTTCACACACTCAACGACCGCAGGTTTGCTCACATAGTGGAAGGGGCGGAGCTATCAGGCGCACATGTTGGATAACTTTATTTATTTTGGATTGTGAAAGCAAAACTCTCCAATGAGAGTGATTATAGCGCCTCCTGATGGTGAATGCGGTTATACTCACGGCAGGTATTATTTGATAGTCTGGTTATTAATTTCTCTAATTTGGCGACCGTCAAACGTCATCGGGGAAACGGTTTGAATTTCCGCTTAGTAAAATAACATTAGTGCTCCATTTGGGATGACACTACATACATATACTACGCTGCTCAGTGTGTAAGTGCATAAGTACATAGTGCATGAGTGCATAGTGTATAGTGTGCCATTTGAGACGCAGCTAACGACTGCAGCTTTGCTCACGTAGCGGAAGGGGCGGAGCTATCAGGCGCACATGTTGGATAACTATTTATTTTGATTGGTGAAAGCAAAATTCTCCAATGAGAGTGATTATAGCGCCTCCCGATGGTGAATGCGGTTATACTCACAGCAGGTACTATTTGATAGTTTGGTCATTAATTTCTCTAATTTGGCGACCGTCAAACGTCATCAGGGAAACGGTTTAAATGTCCGCTTGGTAAAATAACATTAGTGCTCCATTTGGGACGACACTACATACACATACTATGCTGCTTAGTTTGTAAGTGCATAAGTACATAGTGAATGAGTGCATAGTGTATAGTGTGCCATTTGAGACGCAGCAAACGACTGCAGCTTTGCTCACGTAGAGGAAGGGGCGGAGCTATCAGGCGCACATGTTGGATAACTTTATTTATTTTGATTGGTGAAAGCAAAATTCTCCAATGAGAGTGATTATAGCGCCTCCCGATGGTGAATGCGGTTATACTCACAGCAGGTACTATTTGATAGTTTGGTCATTTATTTCTCTAATTTGGCGACCGTCAAACGTCATCAGGGAAACGGTTTAAATGTCTGCCTGGTAAAATAACATTAGTGCTCCATTTGGGACGACACTACAGTCATATACTATGCTGTTGAGTGTGTAAGTACATAGTGCATGAGTGCATAGTGTATAGTGTGCCATTTGAGACGCAGCTCTTGTTTGCATCTCGTTAACATTTCTGAGGCTTTATATCCTGTTTGGATTTTCCTGTTGTGACCCTGCCTTCCTACCGTTTACCATTGTTTGCTGCAAGCCCTGACCATTTGCCTGTTGATGACCATGCTTCTGTTCACTCTGCCTTTTCTGACTACGATTATAATAAAGCTTGCAAGATGGATCCAAATCCTTGTGACGAATCATTACACAAGTCATTGTACAACAGTGGTTTGTTCTGGAGACAATCCGAAACAAATATTGCTTAAGGGGGCTGATAATATTGACCTTAAAAGGCTTAAAAAATTAAAAACTTCTTTTATTCTAGCCTAAATTAAACAAATAAGACGTTCTGCAGAAGAACAAAATATTATAGGAAATACTGTGAAAATTTCCTGAATCTGTTAAACATCATTTGGGAAATGTTTGATAAAGAAGAGTATGATTGTGACTTCAGCTGTAATGCATATACTACAATGTTGTGCATATGTGTGTGTTTCGCAGGTCTCGGCTGTAATATCTGACAATGTTTCGCAAAAAGAAGAAGAAGAGGCCTGAGATTTCAGCACCGAAGAACTTTGAGCATCGAGTTCATACGTCGTTTGATGCAAAGCGTGGAGTTTTCGTCGGCCTTCCAACACAATGGCAGAGTTTAATAGAAAACCTGCGGAGACCCAAACCCATGGTGGATCCTTCCAGAATAACACCGGTGGAGCTCAAACCAAAGAAGGTCAGAATCACAACAAGCCTTTCCCTTTTTAAAGGGGACCTATTATGATCCTTTTTACAAGATTTAAAATGCGTCTCTGATGTCCCTAGAGCAGAGGTTCTCAAACTTTTTTCGCCAAGTACCACCTCAGAAAAAAATAGTCTCTCCAAGTACCACCATAACGACCAGTATTAAAATACAGTAGTGTAGTAGGCCTAATTAAGCAGCTAAAGCTCTGGACAATTTAGAAATGAGGCAGATTAATTTCTATTATTATGAATATTTATTATTGTTAGCAACTTTAAACATAATAAATAGCTTGAACATTAACACTGCCCTGTGCTTACAGGTAAAAAAAATCTTTAAATTAAAATGTGCTTCTAAAAGTTAATTACAAATGGTCTTAAAAAGAAAAAAGAAAATTGCTGTACTGAAATGTAAAGTATAAACATATAGCAGCCTCGGACCTCATAAATATAGGCTATTTGTGATCTTATTCATATATAAAATGTTTTTGAAAAGTTTTGTAATAGATGTTGCACATATTTTTAAGGTATTTGTTTGTATTTGAAATCTAAACATTAACTTTAAATGTATGATTTGGATTTACATATTTAATTTAGAAATCAGATCTGCTTACTGCAAGTTATAGGCTTTGTGTGTCACAAAAGCAGGTGATTAAACTATACCTGTCAACATTGGGACATAAAAATACAGGATAAGCCCCCAACAACTGTTACAAATATGGGGAGGAGACTAGCTTTAAATGATGGAATACAAAACAAACATTAGAAAATTTAAAATAAAATTAAAAGTTTAGCCTATTAAAATCAATTTACTGATCACATTGGTGTTATTGTATGTGTCAGAGTTAAAAGTGTGTTCATTTTTTTTACTTGAATTATTCAGCAATTCTTCTGCGTACCACTAGAAGGAAGCCTGTGTACCACTAGTGGTACACGTACCACAGTTTGAGAACCACTGCCCTAGAGTGTGTGTGTGTGAAGTTTCAGCTTAAAATACTATACAGATAATGCGTTCTAAGGCCTCGTCTACATTAGTGCGTTTTAGTTTTAAACGGCGTTTTAGATCAAAAACGATCCACGTCCACACTAGTGTTTCACCTGGCATCTCTGAACATATCTCCGTCCACACTACGCCACCAAAAACGCATATCAAGTGACCATTCACACACTCTGGGCATGCGTGTTCTAGTATAAACAGGAAGCCTGCGTCTCGCTCGACATTTGGTTATTGTTAGTCAACAAACGCCGGTTGAACAATGAATGCAATGGCAAAGAAAGCAAGAGAGGTATTTTTGTGGACAGATGACGAGGTCGAGTTACTAATCGTAACAAATGAATAACTGCACAATGGTGCCTAAAACAGACAATAGTGCAAACAACGCTCCCATTTCTGTGCCCTTGTTGTTGTTTACAGTACTTTCTTCCGGTAGCGTTAAAGCCATGTGTTATAGTCATGTGATAGGGGCTTGACGAATAAGGGAAGAATACGCAATGACACAAAAGCCCCAATCAGGTAGCGAATCTCAGCAGCCCCGCCTTCGTTTTCAGATGTCTTCATTTTTCCCCATCCACATTGAGACGAAGCAGCAGCGTTTCAGAATGAAAACGGCTAATCCAGCATTTCCGAAACGCTCCATTTTCGGGGCTCGAAAACTCCGGCGTAGTGTGGACTTATGGCGTAACCGTAGCAAAACTTATGCGTTTTTAAACTAAAACGCTTTAGTGAAAAGTGGCCTAACTCTCTGAAACTGACCCTTTTAGGCTTTGATCCTAATTGTTTGGTGTTTTGGTGACTGTCGCTTTAAATTCAAATGAGATTGTGCTCTTTTTCAGGAGGGCGGAGCTACAAATGCCTGTGTTTCAGTATAGTGGCAGATGTAAAACAGGACTAGTGTTGTCAGTTTGAGTCAGGTCTGCATGCTGTCATGTTGTGTTTACACCAGATACAGATGAAGCAGAAAGTGTGAGTGATTTGCATGTTAAGTCAATGCAAAGACGCGAATAGACATCAAGCGGCGTGATACAAGTAAACAATGCAGCCCGAATGACGGGATTCGCGCAAATGAAGTGCAAATTGTGCAGTAAAATCGCTCATGTTGGAAAATCTAAACTTCAGCAGATATTTGTGCCACATTAACCAATCTGGAGCTTGCTCTAGTATGGGAGTGATTATGACGTAGCTCCTGTTGTTGGCGTCTCGAGAGGAAAATCTGGACAACAGCTCATCAAAATGGGCTCGGCTCAGTCTGAAGCACCGCTGAAATCCTCCATCATCTAGAAATGTATTCTCTAGGAGCTGATGAACTTACAGAGCTGCTGCACCATGCTGAACACATCTATAGTGTTTTTCAGCCTTCCTAAAGCACATAAACACAGCTACTCTCTCAAAAAAATCCATGTTGAAATCATGTCGCGTTTTCAGTGTCGGGCTAGTAGCTCGCATCGCGTCACGCAAACCCTGCCCCAGAACTTCCCCCGAATCAAACGTCACACAACCAGCCCACTACAGCAGGAATCAGGCAGATAAAGCACACCATCGCATCATCACGAAACTATTAAAATAAAGACAACCGAAACAAACAAATAACACGTTACTGTACAGCATAACATGATATGTCTATATGCACAGGCCTGTGTGTTTCCATTCATCATATTTGTTTACTCGCTGACTGACTATTGGCATGGTGCATCGTGTGGTCTCGTCACTAACGGAGGGACCCAGCGCATTGAGCGCACCATCCATAATATAAAACCACAGAAATTATCCGCTAATAACTCGGTATGAAATGTATTTTATAACATCCTCATTTAGACAAACGCAGTCAAACATTCAGCCCAAATGCTCCGGAGAGACCTGAAACATATACATTTTCCCATATAGGCTAGATGACACTTAGACAATATATGACAATAGGTGATTTCCCTTTATTTAAGGATGTTGCATATTATTCGGTTATCCTAAGTAAAGAAAACAGCAAGTTTTTCTGCACATAAGAGCAAGTAATAAAATATAGCCTATATTTCGTTGCGCTCAGCAGCTAAGCTCTATATTTAAAATGTCATTTTTACATCTGACCACGTCATATAAAAACATAAACACTTGTTTGAGGACACAGAACACATTTTGTGTTTGCAGTTTTCCCCGATGTGTTTGTAAAGCGGCGCTGCGCAAGACTGGGAGACAGAAGAGAAGGTTTCTGCTTTTACTTATCCAAAAAATGCTCTCTTTGCACGGTTTGATTAATATCTGTCACCGACTCGGTCCCAGTCATTCCCCTCGCTGGCCAGCAGAGGCCGCCATCTCCGGACTTCTAGCATTACATCATCCACATACGCTGATTGTGCATACACCTGTTCTGAATCAAGCTAACGACCCACGTACCCTTTATAAGCCAGTTCCAAACACTCAGTCAGTGCGAAGTCTTGTTTAGCCCCGGCCAGCATTTCTGAGCGTTATTCCCTGCGTGATTCTTCGTGCATTACTCCAGCCTGTTTCTGACTCTGCTTCGCCTTCTGCCTGCCCACGACCCACGCCTGATTTACGGACTCTGATACTCTCTGCCTGCCCACGACCCACGCTTGATACACGGACTCTGATACTCGATGCCAGCCCACGACCCACGCCTGATACACGGACTCTGATACTCGCAGCCTGCCCTCGACCAATGCCTGGTAAACCCCTCTGTGTCCGTTCATCGCCAGTCTTGATACTTCACAGACTTCTGTAGATGTGTGTTTGCACTTTAGTGCATATTGTGTGTTTGAGTGGAAGCTTGACTAATAAATACTGCATAATGGATCCCTCCGTGTCAGTCTCCTCGTTACAATATCATCGTATCCAAAAACTTTATAAATAATATTTTAAACCTCCGCTGGTGTTTATTGTTTTTAGAAAATATCTTAAACCTTTTTTCCAGAGAGGCATTTGTAAAATGAAAGTTGTATAATGCTTTAAAACGGTTTAATTTATGTATTGTGTATATACCTACTTTGTTATAGCTTTTGTTTGTTTTATATTGGCTTATTTATTTAATGCGATTTTTATTTTATTTTTTTTATTTATATTTATATATATATATATATATATATATATATATATATATATATATATATATATATATATATATATATATATATATATATATATATATATATATATATATA